ACTTGTTCCTATATTCAAAATAAACTTAAAAATATGAATGAAAAAAAAAGAGAAAAAAAATGCATTTTTGGGGAATCTGAACATGAGGACGCCTTTACTGTGCGTGAATTTATTTTTAGTAGATAAGTGCAATTCAAAATGTTTATATATAGAGTTATAGAGTATTCTTCGGACTATTCGAATATATATTTATTTTTTCCAAAATGTTAATTTATAGTAATGATTTGTTAAAAATACTGTGTGCAACTATTTTTTGTCAGGCGGATATATTGAACACTTCGTCTTCGAATTGTAATTAATAAAACGAAATTGATATGATTCCTATCATTTTGAGAAGTTGAACAAATAGTTTGAACTGAAAAAAAAATTATCGTCAAGAAGAACAAAGTGTGACCGATAATGAATCAATTTTTTTTTTCATTTATTTTATTGTTAACATAAAAAGACGTTATAGAGATACAAGATCATTTCTTAATAAAAAGGAAATAATTTGTCAGCTTCTCACTGCGAGAGCCCGTCAGATTGGTCCCTAATCGAGTTTGGGTTTGGAAATTTTGGATTCGATCGACCGTATCAATCTTTACTCTACATAATGAAATGGTATCAAAAGAAAAACCATTTTGTAAGTAGTTGAGAAAATTAATAAATGATGGTTTCGAATAATACACATCACGAATTTATTAACATCATTCATAACAATAAAAATTCAAAGATTAATATTTTCTTCAGTTATATATGTCTTGTTTTATGATTGCATTTTCAACTGTTGTAGCTGAAATGAAATGATTACTGTTATTTTGTATTTAATAAATTTAAAATCCATGTTGTTTTCTATTCAAAAAAAAATATTAGAAATGATTTCAGTGCATCATATTTGTCTAACTGCTTATAGAAGGAAGTCGGCGGTTAAATATTGGGATCGACCCATGGCGGAACAATTTCGACATATGTTTTTTTCTTTACAACGTTGTTTAATTTTTTTTATTTAACTTTAAATTAATTAAAATAATTCACTACTTGACTATATCAATTTAAGAATTTTAATGAACAAATGTTATTTAAATAAATAATTGATTTAGCTTTGAAAATTAACTGGGTGATGAGCATGAAAAGATGCAATGCATTAGTGCTCTATTTAAGACTGGCTATATAATAAAATCTAATGTATACAAATTTTACTTATTAGTTCTTGATCACTTTATACTGTACGTTGATTTTTTTCTGAGAGTAACCAATAAAAAACTAAAGCCTTAGTCCTTCATTTGTTCATGTACACAAAGAGTGTCAGATATTGATGATGAAAAAAAAAACATGGATCTGAGTCTGTCGATTCCAGATCCAAAGTGTTATTTTTTATCGGGTCTGAGTCCACAAAAACGTGGATATGCAGCTCCCGATTTACTTCAGTGTAAGCATAACGTGAAGAACATTATTTTAATGGATAAACTGATTATAGTTCACCAAAATTGCTTCTTAATTCACAATCAACGGTTGTAATTGAATTTTCGAAATGATATAAGCTCAATGATATAATATACAACTCAATGTTGCTTGAAAAAATGTCGTTCGACAAACAACCGTACTGATCCACTTAAATTCTATGTGATAAAATTACGTTTGAATTCAGAATTCAATATGTTCGGAATAAAAATAGAGTCATTTTCTACCGTAAAATCAATCAAATAGTTCAAAATACTAATCATTTTGACTTAGAAGTTAATCTACATTGTATTAAATAATGCGAAAGTTGTTCAGAAGAAGCGGGTTTGTTTTTATTCAGTTGGCTTTCCACAAAATGATTTTTCGTTTGAGTGTCTGTCAAACGAAATATCATATAAAAAGAAATATCCAAATCAATCAAGAAGAACAGAAGTTATTAGCCAAAAATTCATCTACTACTTTCTCTAAATTTAAATATTTCTCTTCCTATTTGTTTGATCCTTCTTTTTTTTTGTTTTCACTTGTTCATTCTCTTCACTCAATTTCACACATTGTTGCTTACATAGATATTCTCTCAATGCAGATTTCTCTTTTAAATTTACATATAAAACAACAATAAATTTAATCGATCGTTCCCTAGTGAGATTCAACTAAGCAAAAAAAAAACTGTAATCGAATTAACTTTGTCGTTGTCATTTGATGAATGAATGAGAATATCCGCTTGAATCATCGTTGTGTGATGTCAAGTAATAAAAAACTTCCGACTTGATTTTATATTTTCACAGGAGTGAATTTTCACGCTTAAAACAAGTGAAATATATCCGTATTTTGAATCTCATCTATAACGTGTGAAATAAAAAAAACAAAAAATTGAGTGATCGCGACCACCACTACATTTAGTTAATCTATTATCCTTAAGGCATTTTAAACTATTCGATAATCTATAACACGAATGAAAATTGAATAATAATTTATATGAAATGATTTGAAATAGATAATTTCTTTCTTTTTTTTTAATACAATCAATGCAAAAGAGAAAAACAATTATAACAACACCAATTGAATAAAATACTGTCTGTCAATAACTTCACATGGAATCATATGCCAGATTATCAGCTATAATATGAAAAGAATTTTACGAGAACTTGATGTTTAAATCACATACTTCCATGTTTTCGTTTTTTATCTTTCATACGACGATTTTGAAACCAAATCTATATATATATATATATATACATAAACATTTATATTTTGAATAATAATAAAAAAACAAAAACGTAATTTACCTTTACTTGATTTTCATTCAATTGTAATAATGTAGCTATTTCAATACGTCTTGCTCGTGTTAAATAACGACTAAAATGAAATTCTTTTTCGAGTTCCTAAATTAAAGCAAAATTTTCATCATATACAACAACAAAAAAAAACCAAGATAAATTTTTTTTATATTCATACAGTTAATTGTTTATTTGAATAACTTGTTCGACCTGTATTTATTGAATTATTCATTAAATAATCTGTTGATGAACCATAGATACAATCTATCGGTGGTTTACCTTCAAATAAACATATGTATGTATATGATCATCTATTACATCATCATGAAAATTTTTGAATAAAAGAAAAACATTAAGTAACAAGTGAAGCGATGATAGACATTTCTTTTCGCTTACATCTTTGATGAATTATCTTTTCTTTGGTAATTAAGATCAAATTTCACAAAGTCTAGAATGGTTTGATTTTCCGAACCTTCGTTTTTGAGATGGAAGTGTGACCATAGTTTTTTTGTTGAAAAAAAAATCCATCTCAAGAATAAAGGATCAACTATTCTAGAGTTTTCTATTACTCATCAAATGAATATCGATCTCAATCGAAAAAGTGATCTCTTCGTGTACAGTTATAATTCCAGATAAATTATCATGATAATCGATTTATAATTTCTCAGTGGGTATTTGAACAATATCAATCATCTATTGGGACAAGTTGTTAGATAAAAATAAAAAATTCTTCATCGTCTATTTGTTGGACACTTGTACATGTTGTTTACTCATCATTTTTCTTGTTTCTGAAATAAATTTTTGGACGTGTATAATTAATTACTTGATGTTTTAGCTGGTGTACGTTTAATTTGCATCCATTTATATTTTGTTGTTTCAGTAACAACCATTGGTTGTTGTTGTTCTTGCTGTTGTTGTTCAATTGATGACTGTTCAATAGTTTGTATTTGATGATTATTAGATAATGAAAAATCTTCATATGATTGTTGATTTAATTGTAAATTATTTGAATAATTATGACATTGATCAAATGATTGTATTGGATGATAAATTGATTCAGTTGTTATTGTATTATCAATTGAATATTGTTCATAAGAATTTTCAGAATCATAAAATATTGTAGTTTGATGATGTTTAGATGGTGAAAATGATGTATAAATATAATTTTCATCAAGTAAATTATATTGTGTTGATGGTGTTTGAAAAATAGTTGTTGTTGTTGTATTATTAGAATGAAAATGATGAGATGGAAAATTTGTATATGGTTGAGAATGATGGTATTGATTCATCATGATAGATTATTATGATGGAGATTGATGTATTCTTTTCTTTTTTCTTTTTTTTTTTTTTGCTTTTTAGAATAGTATTGATTGTCGTTTTTAATTTGATGAAATCATCAATCTTGAAGATATTGTGACTTGTTCATAATTCTCTTTTTTTCTTGTTGGTTAACATACATACACACACACAATCTATATGATAGAAAAGAGAAAAATTCTCATTGATCAACAATAATTTACAGAGACGACGAATGAGATTAATTTCTTCTTTCTCAAAAAAATTAAAATAAGAAAAAGAAAAAAACGAATCGCATTTTGACAAGATATTATTTAGATAATATCTTACATTTCGAAGCACAGACATATAGTACAATAACCACAAACTTCGCGGGGGGGGGGGGCAACTCGATATTCGGAGAAGCACGCTGCCCATACACTGGATTCTGTATTTACAAAAAAATATTTAAGCAATTAAATACGTTCTAATTTAGAATTGAAAATACATGTTGTATGCAATGATGATGAAATTATTTAATCAATTGAATTTAATAGAACTAGATTTTCTTTTATTCAAATTGTAATTCATTTTAACGATTAAATTTAATAAAAAAATAATTTTTTTTCGGTAATTTTTATAAATAAATATTCATATGCAGGTAAAAATAAAAGATTTTTCTTAAGAAAAGCAAGATGACAGAAGCCAAAAATCAGATATACAACATTGTGGAAAATCACTTGAATAGTCTTTCTGCACCGTTTCGTGTGATTATCAATAGTCTCACGTACTTTGTCTGTTGTTTCGGATAGTATCTACAGGTTACGCACATCTACTTTGATGATACTCATTATTTTGTAAGTTCGAGTTTGTGTGATGATCCCTTGCTACTTGAAAGTCTTCTTACATTGTGGATAGGTTAGGTGCCATTTATGTTATCAATTGTTGTGAGACTTTCACATTATTTGCAAATGAATCGAATATTGTTTAGACCGTGAAAAGAATAGAATTATGATATCCCGTTTGTAAGTCGTTAATAGATCTTCTTGAAATGACTAATGTGATTTCTTTTCCTTTAGATTTAAATTAAAATATGCATTGACATGTATTTCTACTCGTAAGGGAATTGAAAATGTTTTTTTCTCTTTTTGTTGTTTTCTCTGATGTTTCTTCGTTTTAATTTTCATATCCTGTCGGCTTAATAGCTATTTCTTATTCTTGCAATGATTTGTGATCTTATATAGAAGAAGAGAAAGTGAAAAAAAAGTCATGTATTGCTTGATTTCTCGTTTTTTTTTTGTATGCCTCTTGAGATCATACTGACTATAATTACTGAAGTCAATAATACACATATAAGTATGAGCAATATATCGATCGATCATTCTACCGATGACGTGTCGACACCCTTTGTGCACACAAATAGATAGACATCTTTAATATACTAGTGCCACTGCATCGGGGGGAAAAAAAAAGAGAAGAAAATGGATTAGACAATGATGAAAGAATGTTGAAGGCTGGTGTAAGTCATGCATTATTTATTCTATGTCAAACTTAAAAATATCGAACGACACTTTATCTAAAACAAAAAAACAAGAGAAAATTGAAATGATACTCTTCTAAATGATTATTTGATGTAATATGAAACTTGATTTATAATCATTACAAAGTGACATAGAGGTCTTATAAGATCTATATTTTTGAAAATGATTTTCAATGTTGATTTCATGTATAAATAGATTAAATAAATCATTAATTTATGAAATGTTCTAAACACAAATTTGATTGATAGTTCAATTGATGTTTGTTTTTTTTATAGAAGTTTATTTTTCTAATTAATGAAATGGAATTTATATTAAAAATAGTCTTGTTTTCTTGATTACCTATTTTTTGATTTCATTGTTTTTATGCATCTATTCTTTTTTGTATATCCTTATAAGCCTGTTTTTCTCGCATGTCATGATGTGATAACGGGTGCGGCAAAATAAATGGCCCTCTCAGTATTTTAATTATAAATTTTTTGCTTTTTGTCCTTTAGAGCTGATTGTTTTCCCAAAAGATGCACCGTTAAATTCTCTACAAAATTATAATCGAACTTATTTTTGTAGAAACTTAAGGGAAAACTATTAAAAGGAGATAATATAGCACATAAAAATGACTCCACTTCCTAAGCTATTGGATGTTCCATAATGAATGGCTGATATTTGTATCACTTTTTTTATTATTCAGCATGTTTATTTTAAAGGCAAAGTGTACCATAAGATGCAGCTTGAAAATCTCTACAAGTTACATTAAAAATCTTATTTTATATAGGCATTCTTTGTTTTTAAAATGGACAAAATTCTGTGCCCCCAATTTTTGACGCTCCAAAGGAGATCATTTTTTGTTACACTACGAATTCGTTTTTTCTTAACTCATCTTTTTATCACTTAATGGGCTTTAATAAAAGAAAACAAAATATACCACAAAATGCAGCGCGAAAAGCTCTACAATTTACAAAGAACAATTTATTTTATATATGTACACCTTTTGTTTCTAAAATAAGCAAAATATTGTGCGACCAACAAATGATCCTGTTTGCAGCGTCGAAAATTGGTCGTACAGAATTTTGTCCATTTCGAAAACAAAGAATGCATATATAAAATAAGATTTTTAATGTAACTTGTAGAGCTTTTCATACTGCATCTTATGGTATACTTTACTTTCAAAATAGACGTGCTAGATGATAAAAAAAGAGATGCAAACGTCAAAATACTAGCCATTCATTATGGAACATCAGATAGTTTAGAAAGTTAGGTATTTTTTATGTGTTGAATAATTTTCGCTTAATTTTCTTTCTTCACTTTCTACAAAAATAAGTTTGATTATGATTTTGTAGAGAATTTAAAGGCGTATCTTTTGGAAAAACAATCAGCTCTAAAGGACAAAAAGAAGAAATGTTCTAGTTAAAATACTGAGAGGGCCATTTATTCTGCCGCACCCGTTATATTGCTCTTAATATAGTTTTTATTTAGTTTTGATATAAATATAAGCGTGTTTTTTTTTCTAAATCAAATTTGATAATATCTTCAAATGCATTACGAATTTTGTTCTTTTATTTTCACTATCTTATGGACGGTTACAATTGTTAATGGACAATTTAATCGTAAATATTTAAACAAATCGATTCATTGAAATTCGTCTATATTTTCTTTTAGCTTGTTCATCAAGTCCATGTCGTAACTGATCTGCATGACAGGTTATATTTGCGACGTTGTATTGTAGTTTAGCGCACTCTACAAATTGCAGATCGTTAAATTGAAATAATGAAACTCAGTTCTTAGCGAACCCTATAAATTTCAACAAGTTTAAAAATATAATTGAAATTTTAATTTGTTTTGAAATTTGAAAAACGAAAATTTCGAACTTAAGATTATTTTAAATTTGAATAAATTAAATTTAAAAAAAAGCTGAAATTGAATTTAACAGATTTTTTATTTCGATTTTATGTTCGCAAATGAGAGGACACGCAAAATATGTCGGAGAAATCGAGAGTTTTTGGAGTGTAGTATGATTTTTGGAACATCCTCAATATAGTTACTTCGCAAAATATTCATCGTCACCATTGTAGTCAAATAAAATGGGCTTATGAAATTTTGTTTGTTGTCATTATTGTGTGGTGTCTTCATACGATTCCTGATTATTTCTTCTTTAATAATTTACCAATCACAGCAAAAATATGTGTGTGATTACTAACACTATATTTAATGCATATCTTTCGATATACTCTATTGATCTTATTATAGAATTCTACCGTTGATAATGATTATATTCAGATATTTAAATTATCGTTATATTCACTTGACAAGACTTCTTGATCAATAATTTGCTGATCGTCAATTAATTCGAATAATTCTTATTCAAATAATACTTTTTATTATTATTAATTATACCCTATGGTATTCTTATTATTTACAAGTAACGCTCGTCTGCCGCCTCGCTCAGCTCTTTCTCGTAGAAATGGTGTTTCTGAACTCTTAGCAAATTATTCATTTACACCATTTCAAAAAGTGAAATGAGCACATTTTCGCTGTGTTTTTCTGTCAAATTTATCTAGACATTTGAGTTCAACTTCCTGAACACTAGAAGATCTGACTTGTGAGAACTAATTAACAAATAATTAATAAAAACCGACCTCGGATTCGCATTCCCCGCCCTCAATTACTTTTCTTCAAGTTTTTCAGAAAATCTTAATAATTAATAATTAATTAAAACTAACCTCAGATTTGAACTCCCCACCTCGATTACCTTTGGTCACGATTTAAGGAAAATAATCCCTTTTGTTTTCACATTATTCTTGGATCAATCAGTGAAGTGCGGACACACAAGCAAGCAAGCAAGCAAACAATTTATTCTTGCTAGACTCTTCTCTACGAGAAACAGAAACTTTTTTTAGTAAAAAAGTGGTCCTTTGCCTAAAAAGACTTACCTACAAAACAATTTCAAAAACTGACGTTAGATTCGACTTCCTTGACCTCGATTACCTTTGATCAAACTTTATAAAAAAATTTTTTTAGTAAAAAAGTGGTCCTTTGTCTAAAAAAATTATCCACAAAAGGGTTTCAAAAAACTGACCTCAGATTCGAATTCCCCGACCCCGATTACCCTTCGGTCAACCCTTATAAAAAAGATTTTTTTTTTCGTAAAAAAGTGGTCCTTTGTGTAAAAAAAATGATTCACAAAAAATTTCAAAAAACTGACCTCAGATTCGAATTCCTCGACCTCGATTACCCTTCGGTCAACCCTTATAAAAAAAAATTTTTTTCGTAAAAAAGTGATCCTTTGTGTAAAAAAATGATTCAGAAAAAAAATTTCAAAAAACTGATCTCAGATTCGAGTTCCTCGACCTCGATTACCTTTGGTTCAGTTTTATTTGAAAGAACCCTTTTTGTGTCGAGATCGTTATTCGACCAATCAGTAAGGTGCGGACACACAAGCAATCAAGCAAGCAAGCAATCAGACAATTTATGTTTACTGGACTCTTCTCTACGAGAAAGAGAATAATTCTATTCGAGCTAATCTTGCTAAAGATTAGCAATAGATTAGAAAAAAAATATTTCATTGAAACAATTCTGCTTCGTTACATCTTATTTGTATTATGTCTTATATTTATATTTCTTCTCTCTTTCTCTCGTTTCTCTTGAATTATTTTATTTTCTAGGAAACATTTTTACATGTTTATCATAATCTCAATTCATTTTCGTCAAACATCAAATGATCGAATATTCCTAGTGATGAAGAACGAATCAAGATCCTAACCAATCATGAATGTTAAACGAAATAAAAAAACAACGTCAACAATACTAAAATTTATTATCTATTGTGTTTTATCATCATCTATTTATTTTTCTTTAACTACCAAATAAAATTCGATGTTGTCTGGTCAATAACGAAAGATGAATAATATATTTATCTAGACTATTGAAATACCGATTGTTAATAAATAATGATCAAAGAATGGTTTAAATATAAGTAGAATCGAGTAAACAAAATAATTATTTGACTAATTGAACACATAACATTGATTAAAATCTTGAAAAAGTTAAATGATTTCATTAGTGATAGAGATGTGTATGGATGAAGAAAATATTCTGATCTCTCGTGCACACACCTCCATTGACTCGTTCTTAAGGCAATTATTCTTTTGCAGCACTTCTATATTCATTATTTTTTTTCAATCTACGTAAGTTAACCTTGTTATATTTGTCAGAGTTTTCATATTATATAAAAAACAATCATATTTATTTAATTTATTTAAGATAAGGAAAGTAATGTTTATATTGTTCAGGTAATTGTTCTAAATCATAAAGATAAAGTTGTTTTACTTTTGAAGAATTATATCGTGTTGTATTTCTTGTGAAATTTTGTGTTACGCGTTGTAATTGATCATAATGAATTGACAATTGAATATAATTGTGTAGATATGTTTTTGTATCAAGTAAAAATTGTTCAGCATAATCATCATGAACATGCAGAAGATGAAGTTTAGTCAGATGAGTATAATTAATAATTGAATATATTTGATTTTCATTATTTGACTTTTGTTGCTCGGAATTAATTATCGTTAATTCTTTAAGAAAAGGAAATGATTGACAAATTTTAATGAAAAATTCATGTTCAAAAGGACGTTCGTCAAATAAATCGATTTCTTGAACAGTATTTAATAATCCACCTGGAAAATTATTAGTTATATTTTCATAATCTGTTAACGTATATGGACATGAGTAAATATGACATTGACCATATTTTGATTTTGGAAAATAATCAACACAAGAAATAACTTGATTGTCTTTGAAATTTGTAAATGTATGATGAATATCTTCATTTGATGGAAAATAATTTAGTTTGTCATAGGTAACCATTGATTGAATATTAAATATAAAATGATTCAAACGAGACATATGACTTATGATATTCTTCTGCAAATTATTTCCATCTATAAACATTTCGTCACAATCAGCCACAAAATATAAAGCCAACTTTTCCAGATTAATCATTCGTTGTAAATGTGGCACAATAACTTCATCATAAACACATATTACACTCTTGCATGTCAAGGAAACATGTTTGAAATTTGGTAGTCTTTCCTAGAACACGAATTTATATGACTATTTCGTAGACAAATTCACATCGATTTTCAAAATAGTCTCTTCTATCATAAGAATTTACCTTGTTGATAATTGATCTTTGAAGAGGAAGAATATGAAATGTTGTAACAAATAATATACGTAGTTGATTGAAACGACCATCGAGTAGAAAAAGACATTCATCAAAACGGTAGACAACTATATGTAATTCTACAAGAGTCGACGATGAAAATATTGGAGATTGTATACCAAATGATATATACGCTGTCCCAATAGGTACTGATGTATAACATTTGAAATGACAAAGTTTATTACACATAATTAATATATTCATAAAGATTTCTGCTTGTCGATTGATTTCCAAATGATCTAGTAGTAGATCTTCTTTCCCGTTAATATTTAGTGTCACAATTTGATTTTGAAAAATGTTAACTAGAGATGATCTACCTATATTGAAATTAGAAATATAAAACATTAATTCTCATCATCAAATCTTTCTTGTTTGTGTGTGTTTTTTTTTTGAAATCACTCTCACATATTGTGACATGTTCACATTTCCTACTAATTACACTTGTCCCTCTCAGTCTTATTGAAAGAATAAACTTATTAGAACTTTTTTCTTTGAACCTTGTTTCGTTCAATATCTATCCTTATATACGCAACGAATTTACTCATCTGAAACAGAAAACTTTAAGTAAAATTTAGATAAGTAGTTACAGAATACTCTCGTTTCCTTGGTGAAAATTGAACAAATGACGAACAACTGTTATTTAACACATTAAATTATGCTACTTTATCTTATTTAAAAAAACAATTTTCTATTATATTTTTTGTGATCAGATCCTTTTCATCAGGAAATATTCTTTGAATAACTTTATTTCTACTTTTCTATTTCATTTTGCAGATTAATTCTAATCAAAATTCGTATGAAAACTTCCTAGTCGTCGTAAAAAGTAAATGTTTGTGTTTTGATAATAATTCTCTTATTCAATTATAGAATATAATTATAATCCTAGTATTTACAAATATTAATGTCAATAAAACGAATCCTATAAATATTCTAATCATTCTTAACTATTTTCTTTCTCTATGGATATATATTCGTACCGTGTTTCTATGCAAGAGACAGACAAT